GCATCTAAATGGGGACATTACATAGACTTCTATTGTTTTTATATACAGATAGTTATACACTTTTTTAACCTAAACCCACCCCTACTCCTCACAGAATACTTTCTGCATTTTTACAATTTAAAAAAAACTTTGTTTACTTTATTTTTATACCAGTTTTACAAATGGAGTTTTTTTTGGCGATTTCAATTTGTTCTGCTCACTTTTGGGTACAAATTTGTCCCCAAAATATGGTTAAGTAGGTACACACACACACACACACACACACACACACATAGAAACAACCACAGGTAAAGCTACTATCACCCTCCCTTAGTATTTACAACCAGGCAATTTTTGTAAAGGGACTTTTGAACAGTGAGAAAACATAAGCAGATCCACCACAGAAGTTACAAAAAAGTTGGCCGGACGTCCTGTTATCATCCCAACAATCTTTTAGTATGAGCCCTTATTAGCCGGCAGTAACTGGACCCTGTATTCAACACAAAGCCTTCCAAAAACACTTGGAAACACGGTCACCGTGAATGATCAGAGATGGCAAGTAGAAATGTTAAAAGAGTAAAGTGAAAATATCTGCTCATCGCCCCACACAGAGGGAATACAACTATTTAAAGGGCTTTTTAAAGCATTTAACATTTTACAAACTGAGATCTCCCTTTAGATTGAACCCAAGCTGCCTTCTTCATACAAAATACCAAAGCACCACGCTAGTCCACATGTGTTCCCAGCCCCTCAACATGCCTTTCATATTCATCCAGGTAATGAAATTATAAAGTACTGTATTAAATAACCAAAGACACTTTTCTTAATCTAAAAGTGTTCGTTACTAAAGTTTAAAGGACATGCCTTTTAGAATTCACAGATACACTAAAATCATTCAACAAGCAGTAACATAAACCCCACCCACCAGTTATGTGGCCCCTCCCACTTGCTTTGAACCCCTCCCATTTGTCATTTAAAGGAACAGTTCACCCAAAATTGAATTTTCTGTCATCATCAATTTACGGATATCAAAACTGGCACAGAATGAGATTTAAGAGCTAGGGAGAACTGATCCTCACACAAATCTGTCACAAGAACTATTCCTTTTAACCTCTCCCACTTGTAAATATTAACACGGCATTACCAAACCCCGCACAAACTTTTAGAATATAAATTCAATCAAGCTCACTTCATAAATCCCACCCTATTATATTGTACATAGAACAATTATGAACACGGAAAATTTCACAGAAATAATAACAAACTCTAACCCAACAAAGTGCAAACTGAAGCTGGTGTACGATTCCTACCACAACATGTGCTGCTCATCTTAAAATAAAAGACAGCGTTTGTTTCAAACACGCCAATGTTCCTTTCACCGCCAAAGCAACAAAAATGACAAGTAACATCACTAACAACATTTCTGTCGAGGACACAGGCTTTACAATTGACCATTTCCACAGGAAAATCCATTTGTCTGTTTTATCCCCCATCCGTAAATGGCAGCAGCAGGTCACATGGGTTTGCTGTAGCCAAAGATTCCTACAGGGAAGTGTTTCACGTGAGTCGGCCACTGCGCGGCCAGCTGGAAAAACTTCACGTCGTGCCACTCTACGCCATCGATGGACACTGCAGAGACAAAGACAGTTTAACTGACTGCTGTTAGAAGTCACACAGTAATATATCTAATAGCACATTTATAATTACTATCAAAACACACTACAATCATGTCTTATCCAGATTTTCAGTTCACCAAATCTAGTAGCAGAATCTTACCAAAATAAGTTGAGTCGTACTGAACCAAATTTCCTGATCGTTTTAATTTAATATATAACTGTAATAAATACTGAAATACAGTATTTATGATATACACTACTGTTAAAAACTTTGAAGTGAGACTTCTTTTTTTTTTACAGTTTTTGAAAGAAGTCTTATGTTTATAGAGGCTGCATTAATTTGATCAAAAATACAGTAAAAACAGTAATATTGTAAATTTATTGTTATTTATTTCTGTGATGCGCAGCTGTATTTTCAGCATCATTACTCCAGTCTTCAGTGTCACATGATCTTCAGAAATCATTCTAATATGCTGATTTGCTGCTCAAGAAACATTTATTATTATTATCAATGTTGAAAACAGTTGTAATGAATACTTTTGTGGAAACAGTATGTTTTGATGAATAGAACGTTCAAATGAACAGCATTTATTTGAAACAGAATTTTTTCGTTACATTATAAATGGCTTTACTGACACTACATCCCACCATTTTAACCATTTTTAATAAGGACCCATGCAAGGTTTTACAACGAATATTACAAGTAGACAAGTGACCACAGGGTGGCAGTAGAGTACAACCAACAAATTGCACATTCAGCATGTTCACACTGCCCACCATCACTGCGTCATCAGAGTCCACTGCCAGACGACACACACAAACACACATCAGTCATGTTTCACTGCTGTTATTGTGTTCATTGTGGTCTTGACTCTAGTAAATCCTACCTGATGTAGACAAGCTGTGCTCCACAATTCCCACTTTCACCAACTGCAAGAAAACACATCCGAATCCTAAATTACATAGGTCAGGTATGTTTGGAACAGCATAGATTCTGTAGTATTTTTCGTATGCACAGACTATCCACAAAATGTGCAATATACATCCAGCACTGTGCACAATACTGTATCCCACAATGCAATGCTCTAGACTTAACATTGCATTTTTAATGTGATGGAACCAACCGCTAGTGATATCAACTGTGATTTCTAACATCTTGTTCTTGATCAAAATGACAAAAGTTAAGCCGATTTTATACAAAATTGGTTTAAAAACAATAATTTTTTTTTATAGATAACTGAAAAAGTACACATGTAATATAATCATGACAAGTTGTGACAATAATGTAAAAGAAATGTAGCATACTGTTGTTTATCTAAAGTTTATCTTTACACAATTTTGTTTCAAATATTTTATTATACAGTATATACAATATATAGTAACCAGTACATAATTTGCTCTACACAATGAACAAATTTGGTATAAAAAATAACTTCTAATATTCACAAATGATGGCTGTGTAAAATCGTGTTTTTGTACACTTACAACTGCAGAACATATTATTAATGCTATTAATGGCTCCCTGTTTGTTAAAAGCGGAAAAAAGCCTGAACGTTTACAAAAAAAAAAAAGGAAGTAAAAATGTTTGTTTGCCCACTTCAAGTCAAACTAAATATTATAAGAGCTGTTTTATTTTATATCTATTTTAAATGAGGTTTGCAATTTTTGCAACCATGTTGCCAAAATCTCTGAATACAAATTTGAGTGATTTAATTATTTTCCAGCAATAAACATTACATAAACAACATTTTAGTAGTTAACACTTTTTTTTTTTTGGTTACTATAGCTGTGGTAGCTAAACACCGGTATTCGGTATGAACCGGTATACCGCCCAGCACTAGTAGCAGGGTTGAATGGTTGAGCTTCATGAGGTTGAGCTAACAAATTTGTGTGAAAATTGAGAAAATGGGAACAAGGGAAAATCATGCAATATCAGGATGGTGTTATTTAAATTTAAATGAGATACTAATTTATATGTTTAAGATTCAGTATAATTGGACAACCAAGTATATTTGTGGAAAGTGCAGCTGACACTTTAGAACAACAACAGAGAGGAAATGAAAGAGAAAGCATTTCTCACCCCAACGAATGGGACAAACTTCTGGCAGGAGTCTTCATCAGGGCTGTCGAGGTCAAACAGGAGGGAGTGGTTAGCACAGGGCTGACAGGACGTGTAATGTTAAGCTGTCAGTGAGGGCGGATGGTCTGAGAGATGCATGTGAAGTCGTCGGGGTGTGGGGGGTGAGAATGGGGGTGTCAGATCAGATAGTGTGACACAGAGTGGTGTCCTCTAGTTGACAGAGAGCTGTGAGACCACAGTGAGTGTGAGGGCTCATGCCATGAGAGGACGCTGGGATAGCTTCTTACATCCACCAATCAGGGGGTGTAAGGCTGCAGGCTATGGGGGTGCTTCATTATTGAACACACTGTTATATAGTCTTTTAATCTTTCGTGACTCTTCCCAAGAGTCGTCTACAACTGAAAGAAGCTGCTCTCCAACACTCTAGAAACCAGAACACAAGGAACTTCCAAGATTCTGATTTTAGTTGACATAAACAGAGCCGGCATGTATTCTCGTGTAGCCTTGACTATCAGCATAAAGACTGATCCACATGGCAGCTTTTTGTCTGACCAACATGTACAAAGACCAGTCACAAATCTGAAGAAGCTCTCTGCTTCCAAACATCTACTTTAGGTGTCACAACAAAAAATTTGAAGCCATGAACCAGTAAACTCCACCAACTGGGTTAATGTCTTTTAAGAGTTTCCATGATAATAGTAATAATTAACAAAAAAAATAAAAAGAATTATAATACATGTGCCAGGTTCTTTACCATTTTTATGAAAAGTTTAAATGTAACGGTTTAATTTTACATCTAAAAGTTTAAATCCAACATATTTTCCATATACCGTGAATACATGTGTGTGCACAACTTAATCATTACTTTTGAAAAGTGTTTTAAAATGATCATGAATTCTTAATAAATATCAAATTACTATAGAGTTGCACCACATGACTGACCAACCTTGCGCTGTTAGAAAAAAAATCTAATTATTTTGTATTTTAAGAGACTTGTACAAAAAGTCAATCTCTATATGACATGATTTCCTGTTTTATTGATTTATTTCTGCATGTTCTGTTGTTCGCACCACTTGACTTTTGATTTCAGCAAACTTCTCAAATATTAAACAGTCGCTTTTAAATTTTTTTAAATTTTTCTCCCTCACTCTTTGTGAGAGAAACAAGGGAGAGAGGCCAGGGAGCATAAACAAAATTGTAAAATGTGACTTCAAGAACATCTAATTAATTTTCAATGGGTGAAATCAAGTTCCATTCTACATTTATTTTCCTTGCTGAATGTCTTATTTCACTCAGAACAAGTAATCCATACCATTATAGGAATAAAATGGGTTCTGAAAATTGTTTAACATTTATTTTAGGCCCAGCTCAAATGCATCAGCTAATACAACTGTAAAATGAGTGTGAGGAAGGGTTGGAGTTATTGTTGATATTTTAATGTGGTTTGATGACACACCTGCAGCACAACACTCATCCTCTGCTGTCCATTCTCACTTCATTCATTTCTCTTTGTTGTCTCTCTATAGGTGTTCTATCACGTTCTGTACCCCTGGGTTTCTCTCTGTATATCTCCCTTTATCTTTCTCTAGTTTGTTCGGCTTCAAAGTGATAATTGGTTGTGTGACCTTTTGTATTTGTGCTTGCCCTTCTGCTGGAGAACTGCAGACTATCACAGATTTATGTTCCAGTCAGTGTGTATGTACTATGTTTCATCCAGTATTTGGATGATTGTTTTTCACTGGACTCATTTAGCACAGGCTGCCAGTGGTAAAAAACAGGATTATACGTTCCTTTATTCCCAAATCATTCCAAAACCTGTTCTAATAAGAAGGCATTTAGCCAATGCTTTGGACACAATATATATATAGCAAGCAGCTAAAATTAAATTAGTTTAATTTACTATTAATAAGTTGATCACATTAATGAAATTGATCACATTAATGAAATTGATTACATTAATGAAAATTAATCATACAAAGTATTAACAATAACTCTTAAGTGTCTTCCTCACTGAACAGAATAGTAATATTTCGTATAGAAACACTAACAGGTATGAACCTGCAACCTTTCAGTTACCACATTTTAAAACCACCGTAATACACTCGTCTCTTTTCAAAGTTAGTCATCATCTCTTATCTCCAAACCTGTTAAACTCAAACCAAACTAAATCAGTTAAAGACACAAAAAGACTGAATTATGAACACAAAGCACACAGTGAGCAAAAACTAGTCACGCAGACAGGTGTGTGAGGTTAACATACTGAGAGCATGAGTGATTTAAACCACAGCAAACATTAAAACGTCAACCCAAACACACGATTAGGTACCTGATGTAAAAATCAAAATACAAACTTCTCTTCCTTGAAGGCAAAAACAAAAGAAAAGGAGGGAAAAACCCAAAGCATAACAGTTACTGCGCCATCCTCAACACACGTCCACTTCTCAATGACAAAATAAAACAAGATCAAACAAACAAGTGACAATTAAAAAAGAAAATGCAAGTGTAACTGATTGTTTGATCTACTTTATGAACTAACTGACGATAATGATTATGATACTCATAATAATTTGTTGAGTGAATTTCATTAAACATGTCTAGGGTTGGGTATCATTTGAATTTGATCAATTCCGATTCTGATTCCGATTCTTTTCGATTCCAATGTGATTAAATAATGATATCAAACATTTATCCTGTGTCTCTTTTTTTGCAAACCATTTATTGGAGCTGAATACCATGAACAAAAATCAACAGGCTAAATAAAAATTAGACTCTTTAAGAGCTGTTTGTGTGCAAAATAAAACTGCATGATTTTGGATAAATTTTGTTTTTCTTTTTCTTTTCTTTTTTCCCCAATGGAAGTTGTGGTTCTCTAATGATTCTGAAGAAAAAACATTAGACAACTAAACAAAATCACATGTAGTTTTTGAAAAAATTATTGCTTGGTTCACTCAAGATGTACTTGTCTCATTACTGGATGAAACCGCGTTCTTGAACGAATCTCTTGTATGATTCAAAGACAAATACATTTTAACAGCCCCTTTTCGCCACCTACTGGCGTAACAATGTAATCGAAAAATCTTCATTTGAAGTGTCAAATTACTTTCAAAAGGTGATTTACTCTATTTTAATCGCTACCATACACATCGTACACACAGTTTATATCTGAACTATAAACTTTTATCCCAGTACTTCTGTGATTTGAATGTTTGTAACACAGAAATAATTATACTGTGTGGCTGAAAAGAATGTGAAGCAATTCATTCATGACAGACAGCTGCTCTCTTTAGGTCAATGGCACCGCAACCGCAGATTTAAATGTTCAAATCACACTGGTGTGATCGTACTCTGCACGGACGAACCA